CAGCTCTGATCTCCATAACAGTTCTCAGGGTGTTTTATCTCAAGGAAGTCTCATGTCTGGTGCATCCCTTCAGGGATGATCATTAAGTTGATTTTAGTTGTTCTTGTGGTGTGGTGCATGCATGCGTGTGTGTCTGTGTATGTTTGTGTGTCTGTGTTACAGTGCTAGACAAATGTATCTTATCAGGAAGCCTGCTAGTTAGGCTGGTATTGAACTTCAGTATTGGACTAACTATATGATATGATTTGACGGTACCCAAGATAAGTCGAGGTCCCTATTCACCACACACTGATGCTTATTTTGGTTGTTATTGGTCAGAGAATCCCAGAAACAAAAAACACTATGCAAAGTCATTTACTTTCATTCCTCTTTATCTGAACAGTTGGGGGCTACTCCCCCCACAGTGTGGCAGATGAGAGAGTCACCATTCTGGAGGTAGTGTTCCTGGTGGCTGCAGGAAATGGCCAGGAGTCCATCTATGCGTCAAAGTTACCACTCACGGAACGATTGTCTTGCGCTGGCCTTGGAGATCATCTCTTTCCCTTGCCCTGCACCAGTCTGTCTTATCCCAGCAGGGAAGTTCTCAAAAACCTAGTCTGTGTGACTTCAGCTGCTGCAGCCCCTAGAAATCCGTGCTTGCTGCTGTGTCTGGAATGTGGTCCATCGATTCTCCTGTTATCACTCTACTACAGCATCCCATGTGTCCCAATGTAGTTACGCTTCCCTCAGTCCATAGACACCCGTGTTTTCCCATATGTCTGTCCCTGTCTCTTAGAGGACATGCATGTCAGTTAACAGCATCGACGAGAACAGAACTGCTGAGTCATGGGCTGTTTCCCGATGATGATCAGCTGGACTAAATGACGGTGTTTGTTTTCTAGAGAATCTGAGGTGTCAAGGTTGTAGGCACTGCGTGAAAAGAGAGAACTTGACCTCCTTTTTATTCTTTTAAAGGATTATGCAATTTTGGAATGATTGGGTTTTTTTTCTTTGAAATGTTTGATAGAATTTACTCAGAAGATAATGTGAGCCTGGGATTCTTTCTGTGGGACAGTTTAAAACACTTGTTTTTATCTTTATTGCCTTATTATTAACACTCGGGTTTTTTTGCTTTTGTTTCTGTTTATTTTGAAACAGGGTCTCTTGTTGTCTCTTGCTCCATATGCCAGCCTAGCTGGGCTGCAAGCTTCTGGGCTTTGCCTTTCTCCACCACCCATCTCCACTTTGCTGTAGGAGCAGTATTAGAGTTGTGTGCTGCCTGGTCTGGCTTCGCATGTTTCTACCGATCCAAACCCAGGTCCCCATGCTTGCAGGGCAATGGTTTTACCCACAGCACCATCTTTTCAGCCCTGTTTTATTTTAATATGTTCCTTTTTGATGTAAAAATTAAAAATAACTAAAGCAAGGGGACAGGTTCTTGTTGTACAGCCCAGGGTATACTTTAATTAAGGCAGGGTTTTGCTGCACAGCTCAGGCTAGCCCCACACTTGCAGCAACCCTCCTGCCACTGCCTCCCACATGCTGGAATTTGCAGGCATATGCACCACACCTGGCTAGAACTGTCTAATTGCCTGCCCCTTTCCAAAGAAATCAAGAATGCCTTCCCTTTCTGAGAACCCTTTTGTGTCCTCTCAACACAGCTTTAAGAAACAGCTTTTCTGGTTTTCTCTCAATCCTCTGAGGATGGCAGCCTCTCTTCCCTGCTGATCTCTTCCTTTTTGCCCGATCCTCTGCCTGGCAGGTTTGCTGCTTCCCATACATGTTCCTGGGTCAGCTGTTCAGGGCTGAAGAGTCTGCCCTGCATACTGTTGGGCAGGTCCTAGTACTGTTTGTACGAGAGGTGTTTTGGAGTCTTTCCTCACTTCTTGCCTGGTTTACGGCTGTTAAGGCTCATCTCCTCTTTGTACACATGCCCTGCCCTCAGTTCTGAGGCAGAGAAGGGCAACTGGGCTAATGGCTTTAGGAAAAGCTAGGACCCAATACTGCTTAACTGGCTTCTTTGCCCCAGCTGTGGGGTTGGTGTGGCCTGAGAGTTTAAAATGTTCAGGGGCTTTGATAACAACTTCATTGGTTATTTCAAAACAGGAGAGAGGATTTTGAATCTTCAAACACAAATGAGTGATCTGTATCTGAGATGCCAGATATGCCAGGCCACAAAGTGATCTTTATACACTGTGCACACACACATTGTGCACACACACTGAAACGCCACATTAAAATTACTACGTGCCAATTAAAAAGAGCACACGTTATCTATATATAAGTCTATGTATATAAAAACATATATAGTGCAAACTTTTAAGTTAAAGTCCTAAATTATGTTTATGCACTGGGAAAAGGGTATGTGCACCTGAGTACAGGTGCCTGTAGGTGATCCCCTAGAACTGGAGGACAAATTCAGGTCTTCTGGAAGAGCAGCAAGTGCTTCTAACATTTGAGCCTTCCCTTTAGCCCTTACCAGGATTTTCAGAGACAACTTTCAGAGGATGAACTCTTGCTTCATCTTGGTATGGATTCATAAGAGGAAGCTTATTATTTGTGTGGTTTTTATGCCCTGTTTCCTTACCAAATGTCTATTCTTCGTCCAGCAATTAAAATCTCCAGCTGAGCTGGTGTATTTTTACCCCCTGTTGTGTTACCTCTTCCGTGTAAGCTTTTCATCTAGGTAGCCAGGACTAGGACTGGTGTGTCTCCAGGAGGAGTCAGTCTTCCATGATGTCTGTTTCTAACAATATTTATTTGCTTTAATGCTGACTTTGATAGACTTACTAGAGCTGTCTTTTTCTTTTGGTTGGTCTTTATTGCTTTCATTTGCTCTTGTTGCTATAACACAAACACTCCAGAGTTAGGCAGTTTTCGATCCTGAACCTTGAAGCTATCTAGGGTCTCCAGAAAGCAGCTGAGTCATTGGTGTGCTGAGAAACACGTAGTATTTAGAATATTCCAGGAATCTCAGGGGGTAGGAATGAGGGACCAAGACTGAAGAAGGAGCAGGAGATGTTCCTGGAGTTTCTGTCTCGTGTGGATGATGCTCTTATCCTCTCTTGCACAGGAAAGAGACTCTTACCGTTCCCAATGTGCAGGAAGTTGCAAGGCCTGGAAGCTCGGTGCTAGATAGGTACAAGAAGTGAATGTATGATGTGTACCACAATAGCACAAATATTGGCTTTGTTCTCTCTCTGAAATCATCTTATGATCTGCTGTCTATTATATCTTAGTGTGTGTGTTCAGGTGAATGTGCATACTCGTGTGTATGCATGTGTTGTAGCATGAGGGCCAGCTTGTTGGGGTATCTGTTCCCGCCCGGTACCCCACAACCAGCAAGTCCCAGAGAAAATCAATCACACAGAGATCTCTATAAGTTAAAAAGCTGATTGGCCCATTAGGTCAGGCTACTTATTAGCTCTTATAACTTATGTTACCCCATTATCCTTATCTATGTTAGCACATGGCTCAGTACCTTTTCCAGCGGGGCAGCTTACATCTTTCCTCTCCGGTGGTCTGGGCAGAACTGCGGAGGGAGCTTCCTGCTTTCCAGAATACGCCTAGTCTCTTTGCTCCACCTCTACTTCCTGTCTGGCTTTCCTGCCTATACTGCCTGCCTGGCCAATCAGCATTTTATTAAAATACGATTGACAGAATACAGACAATTCTCCCACACCAATGTGTGTGTGGAAGCCAGAGAATTATGCTGAGTGTCTCCTTCACTCTTTCCACCCGTTTTATTTTGGAGACAGGGTCTCTTGCTGAACCTGAAACTCACTAACTGACTAGACATGTTATCATCTCCGGGGATAGTTCTGTTTCCATCTTCCCTACGCTGAGATTATTGGTTGTGCTGCATCTGGCTTTTCACATGGGCACTGAGGCTTGAACTTAGGTCTTCACATTTGTGTGGCAAGCACTTGAGCATCCTGCTAGTCCCAGTGATATCTCCTCTATCTTAGCACCTCTCTTTAAACATCCACCCTCATAGCTAACTCACTACATGAGGAAGACGTAAGAAAGATGAAAAGGTTTTTGAAAACACACTCACATTTGTTTCACCAATAGTACCAGGTAAACACCTTTGAGACAAGTATGGATGAAAAGCTGCAAAATTCAAAGGATTTTTATCAGATTCTTATAAATCACAGTTTGCGAAAATAGATTTGGATAGTTTCCCATCAGTGTTCCAAAGAAGAAAGGAGGAGGGGGCTCATGCTGAGTGACTGAGGAATTGTTTTATTGCAAAGGAATAGAACTCAACCTGATGGAACTGGAGGAAGTGCAGCAGGGGCCATGGAACCCAAGGAAGATAAGGAAATGAGTGCATACTATTAGTGAAAATACCCAGACAGAGTCTGGTTAGTCTCTGATGCACACCTTGAGTCTCTGGGTGCCAGGTAGATCTAGGAGGGGAACCAGAGCTCACAGCGTCGGGCAGCCTGGCAATGCCTGTAAGCCCTTTTACCCTGATGGTCTCCCAGTAACACTTCAAAAGTGTGGAGGGATAGCCCAGTCATGAAGGAGCTGAGATCGATTCCCAGCACACACATGAAAAGTCAGTGATCTGATGTGTGCTTGCGATCCCAGCACTAGAGTGGTGAGGGCAGGTAAACTCTTGGGGCTTGCCTGCTAACAAGTTAAACCTAGTGGGAAAGTACCAGTCCAGTGAGAGCCTCTATCAAAAAGTAAGGTTTGCAGCCCCCAGACTTTACAGTTGGCTACAGTGAGCCCCACCAGTTACAGACAGGGGTTCTCAGATGATGGCCCTGTCAAGACTTCTCACAGTGACTCTTGCCATATAATGGGCACACAGAGACACTTACAACAGCTACAGTGTTGGCTTCAGCCTTACCCACAATGACTGTGTCACTCACAGCACAAGAACCTCCATCACATAGAAGCCCAGGGGAAGCAGGAGACTTATGGTGCAGCCAGGTACAGAAGGACCTCCTATGCCACTAAGGCCTCCCTTCTGCTGAGCATCTTTCTGTTTTTCCCATTCCTGCCTGCAGCTGGCCAAACACGGACTCAACGTTGTACTTATCAGCCGAACACTGGAAAAGCTACAGGCCATTGCAGAGGAGATTGGTGAGTGATCTCACACAGCAGGGCGGGTGTGTATACATGGAACTGGTCAACCATGGCACTGTCCTGCCTGTTCATGCCATGTCTGCTGCCAGAAACCTGGGCTGTCACCTGTCCGCTGTATACAGAAGGGCCCAGTGTACAAAGGGAAGGACAAGGTATAAGGTATAGGCTGTCACCCTGAATTCTGTGGCCTGGATAAAGGAGGCGTTTTCTCTGGGCCTTTACCTGCTCAGCCAGAGCCCTAGCTGCCTCTTAGCTTCCGTCCCTTCCTTTGAAGCCAGAAACGGTGTCTGTTATTTGTTTCTATGCTCGTAATCCTTATTTTCAGGTACTCGATTTTAATAATTATTAAGTTAATAATTAGCTGAAGTATCAAGGCAAAGGTATGAATCTCTAATTATGAAGGCTTTTTAAACCACAGCAGACTGTCATGGGCCAGCCTTGTTTCTTTGGGGGAGGTTCAGAATAGAAGAAGGTTGTGGGGATGGGGGCTGTACGGTCAAACTGCGGAGGCTCCCTGCCCTTGAACGGGTGAATTTGGCTTTTGTTGGGCATCTGGATATTAGGGGGTCACTCCGATTAGGACCAAGGCATTCTTGAGTATCTCCATCATGGTGTTAAATGTGCTTTTTATCACGTTATTGGAAAGCAAGTCATGTATTTTATATTAAAGGATCCTTGACTCTTACGTTATGTCTCTTGATTGCCTGATCAGAGGATCTGGGTCTAGACACAAAGTCAGGGCTCTTCTGAGAGAGACTGGGACAGCTCTACCTGCAGCTGATACCGCTGCCTGTAAAGGCCTTCCCTGGGCAAGTCAGCGTAAGCAACAGACAAGGTGCTAAACTTGGAGTGAAGAATAGGTTCCTTGGACAAGTTAGTTCGCTACGCTTATTCTCAATTTGCTGCTCTGGAAAATGGGAAGAAGAGTGTCTACTCCCTCAGGATTGTGGGGGACAAGCTGCCATGTACGTAGATTCTGGAGCATATGCATGCAAAGGACACCTGTGTCAATGCTGAGGGGACCTGAGTCTGCTGAGCTCTGAAAGCATCAGAGGCTGTGCATAGCCCTCCTCCAGGGGCTCAAACCTGAGTTTGTGTCAATCACCTGGTGGCTTATGTAGGCCAGAATGTCTGAACCAGTAGGTCTGGGGTAGAGGCAGCTCTGGGTGTCTAACAAGATTTCCGATGATTTTGATATGACTTTGAGAAACACAGTCCCAACTCTCTTTCAGATATTTCATTGTAATTTTTAATTGTGTTTATGTGTGTATGTCTGTGTTGGTGTGTGCACATGTGTGTAAGTGCCTATTAGATCCTCTGAAGCCGAGTTACAGGAGTTGTGAGCCACCTAATGTGGGTGCTGGAAACCAGCCTCGGGGCTCCCATAAAAACAGAAAGCTCTCTTAACTGTGGAATCATCTCTTCAGTCCTACAACATCTATTTTATTGTTGTGGACTTTATGGTCAAGAGGGATGATTGTACTCAGGCTTACTAGAAATACTTGTGGTCTCTCATACAGAGGGGACCATTGGAAGCCGTGTGAAGATTGTGCAAGCAGATTTTACCAAAGAAGACATCTATGACCATATTAAAGAAAAACTTAAAGGTTTAGAAATTGGAATTTTAGGTAAGTGTATTGAAAAATGCAAATCTTGATTTTTACATGTAAGTGTGATAATCACCTTAGTGACGCTTTATTTATTGAAGTCCCTTTTGGGAGTGGCCTGGTGAGATGGCTTGACGCATAAAGACACCTGTCATCAAGTCTGATGACCTGAGTTCAAACCTAGTGATCCATTTGTTGGATGGCAATAACTGAGTTCTTCAAGTTGTTCTCTGACAGCTACACATGTGCCATGGCATGCATGTAGTTACACACACACACACACACACACACACACACACACACACACACACTGCATGCATGCACGCACACACTCACGTATGCACTCATGCATGAACACTTGCGTATACACACACAGACAAAGAAAGGACCCACTTCTTATTCAAAAGTCAAGATGTGTTTCTGTCATCATAGACAAGACACCTTGCAACCATGACAGGGTGCACTGTCAGCATTACATAGGAGAAAGTAAGACTTGAATTTTAAAGTTCCCTTAAAATCAAAGCCATAATTACATTTTCACAAGTGAAAATATAAAGATACATCTTTGTAGAAAAAAATTGGAAAGGATGGGTAAACACGCACATTTCTTAAAGCCTTCCAAACTTGCAACAGCATTTTGATGTACATCCTTCCAGGGGTTTTTCAAAAGTGGGATTGCATCCACCTGCTGTTTTGTAGCATCACACCATAAGCAAAGAGCTGGAGTTGCAGGTTGGCTGGTAGAGGGCTTGTTCCTTCCCGAGCACCTTACATATCATGCACATGTTGGTGCACACCTGTAATCCAAGCCCTCAGGAGGTGGAGGAAAGAGATCGGAAGTTCTAACCCTCAGGTGCATGGTTAAAAACTCTTGTATCACAAGTCCTAATGTTTTTACATTCTAAATGGACGTGTGTGTGTGTGTGTGTGTGTGTGTGTGTGTGTGTGTACATATGGAGACCATTGGTCAATGTCAGACATCTTCTTCTATTATTCTCATCCTTATATTTTGAGTCCCTCCCTCCCTTCTTTCCTTCCTTGCTTTCTCTCTCCCTTTCTTCTTTCTTTTCTTTTTCAGAAAGGTTTATTTATTATGTATGCAGTGTTCTGTCTGCATGTATGCCTGCACACCAGAGGAGGGCACCAAATCTCATTACAGATGGTTGTGAGCCACCAGGTGGTTGCTGGGAATTGAACTCAGGTCCTCTGGAAGAGCAGGCAGTGCTCTTGACCACTCCCCAGCCCCCCTTTTTCTTTTCTATTTTAACTCTGGTCCTTGTGTTTGTGCAGCTGTTCTTTGTTCATCAGGTCATTTCCCTGACCTTCATTCCCTTGTTGTTATTAAATCATGTTGCGATGAGCACCCATACACAGAAATCATTTGCGCATGTTTCTGTAGAAAGATTTTCCATCTGTTTTGACACCCTTTACCTCTTTCTGTTAGTCAACAATGTTGGAATGCTCCCCAGCCTGTTCCCAAGCCGTTTCCTGAACACTCCCGGTGAGATCCAGGTGAGCCTTTTCCTTTTGTGTCTGCTTTTGTCTCTCAGCCAGGTATGCACCCCTGGCTTGATCATCGAGATTCATGGAAGAGAGATAAGAATCAGGTCATGCCAGGCTCTGCTGCACCGTGGCTGTCTTGATATTTTTCTCCTCACCCTAAAACTCGACACAAAGTGTGTACCTTTTCATCTCTGCTCATCAAAAACTTCCTAACCCCTATACCATTCTTTTGGGGCTCTGCGCTCTGTTTCATAAAAGGGCAGTTCTGCCCAACCACTTCACAGCTCTAGTATCATGGGAACAGCCAGCTCTTGGCCATTTCTGTCTTCCTAAGTGATGAGATGTAGCCGACTTTCAGAAATAGGGAAGTCTAGATCTTTCTGCATCTGAGTTTGTTGTCTCCCCTTAGATATCAAAGTCCCTGAGCCTTTAAGTACCTGATATACTTCACTGTCAGGCTGCATGTGTCTCCCGTCTCCCTCGGGGTAACTTATCTCTAATGTGATGTAAATATGTGAGAACAGATAAGCATAGTGTTTTACAGAATACAGGCAAAGCCTCTCAAATCTGTACATGTTCAGTATAGATGTTGTTTTTGAAAAATTAATTAAATTTATTTTTATTAAATTTTCCTTTGACAATTTTGAATTTTTTTAATTTTAAAGATTTTCCTCTGAAAATTTCTTACATGTATCTATGCCTCTCTGTGCCCTTCTGTTTCCCTTCTTCTCCTTCTGGAACCCTTCTTCTCCAGTAAAGGACCTACCCTCCTGCCCAGGAAGTCTCCTTCTACTTTCATGTCTTTAAAAATTTTTTTTTTGTTTTGGTTTTTTGAGACAGGGTTTCTCTGAAACTTTGGAGCCTGTCCTGGAACTAGGAACTAGCTTTTGTAAACCAGGCTGGTCTCAAACTCACAGAGATCCACTTGCCTCTGCCTCCTGAGTGCTGGGATTAAAGGCATGCACCACCACTGCCCGGGAAATTTTTAAATATAGTATTTTTATTAATTCTTGGCGATGATCCACCCTCCACTCCTTACTCAACATCTCCCAGATCCATCTCCATCTTCCCACCCCTTTCCTACCAACTGTCAATAACTCCTCAGACGGAGCTGGGAACTCATTAGCCCCTTAAAAGTCTATCACTAGGAGAGGGTTGTTTACAAAACCCAAGCTGTGGTCCCAGGTTGCTAAGTCATCCCTGTGCTTGCCTGCTTTGCTAGCATTTTCCTTTCTTGTCCTCTCTAGCCCTGAACCTCCATCTTGTATTAGCTGACTGTTCAGCTTTTTATTCTCCACACTTTGTCTCCTATGCCCCACTGTGCTGACCCTTCTTTGTCTAGCTGGACGTTCAGCCCAGTCTTCCATGATGAAGAGGTTCCTCCCAGTAAGTCTCTCTATAGTTGAAAATATCCTAAGTAAAAAAAAAAAATGGTTCAATACCAATTGAACTGGCCACCCCAGTTCCAGACAAGGCACACTCTAGAAGGATAAGTTTGCTTCTCAAGGCAGAGAGGCTGACAGCAATGCAGTCAAGGTCCAGCCTGGCAGAAGAATATCAAACCACATGGCACTGGCCCTGGAGAAACTGTACATTCAAAATTTGAGGTGTAATTTTTATTGTATGTATACTGCTTTTACTTTAGCAAAAGTTGACCCAACCATCAGAGATAGCGACCATCTGTATCTCCCTTTGACACCTATGATTCTATTCCATCCTGAGTTTTCAAGGCTACTTTCCTTTTGCCAAGGCTCACATGCAGGTAGGACTGCAGAACAATGCCACCGAGCCTCAGCTAGGAGCCAGAATGCAGGTTGAGCATGTAAGGCAGTTACTGGGACTCAGCTTTTGCGAATTCAGTGCTTGGTTAGCGCCAACTTATTCCCAGGACAATTCTCCGAGGACTGGACTGACTTCTGTCTGTGATTATCTATTGCAGAGTCTCATCCACTGCAACATCACCTCTGTAGTCAAGGTACGTCATGAACATGTGTGCTAAACACATCAAAACACAGAGGTTGAAACATTCCTTGACCTGAAACTAAACTGCTCTTAACCACAGTCTGTCTTACTCTGTTCTCATCTGGAAAACATAGAGACAGGTTCATTCTCTCCAGTATATGAACCATATTTTTGAATTCAGAATGTACCAGGCCTGAAGATACCAATACTTCCTCAGGATTTCAAAGCAATTCCCTAAAAGTTAATATTTTAAGAAATGTTTAGTAGTCTCTAAGAGAAGGACATTTATTATGTCAGAAAAAATGATAGAGGACTAGGTTTTCTAGGTGTTTGCTGTTCAGTATTTGTTGAATTGAGCTTAAAGCTATTTGTGGATTAGGCTCTTTTTAAAAAATTTAATTGATTATTTTACTATTTTTAAATTATGTATGTATTCCTGCATGTGGGTAGGTGCACTGAAGGCCCTAAGTGTCAGCTCCAGCTGGAGTTCCGGTTGTGAGCTGCCTGATACGGGTTCTGGAGGAGCAGTGCAGGCTCTTAACCTCTGAATGCGGCCTCCAGCCCAATAACTTCTTGTTATTTGTGGTTTGGTTATCTGTGGTCAGTCATGGTTCCAGAATGCTAGAAGGAAGATTCTCTACTTTAAGAAAGAGGCTAGAGACCACATTCACATAACTTTTACCAGGGTATGCTATTATAATTGTTACATTTTTAATTATTAGTCATTAATCTCTTATTATATCTAATTTGTAAGTTAAACTTATAGGTTATGCTGGTTTCAGGAGCCATATCTACTCAGGATTTTAGAATGCACCCTTCGCAGATTGGTGTGTGTGTATGTGTGTGTGTGTGTGTCTGTGTTCTAAGCTCAACCAGCAGCTATTACTTGGACAGCACAGGACAAGTTATCTTGCATTTCCAATTCTGTATCTGTTACAGAGTGTTAGATAGAGCAGCTGGGGAGATGGCCCAGTAGTTACCTTGCAGGAACAAGATCTTGGGTTCATCATCTTGGGTTTGATGTTATGTGCCTGTTTTCCCAGTGATGGCAGGACAGGAGGCAGAGACAGGTAGATCCCTGGATACATGTGGGTCAGCTGGTGTGACATACACAGTGAGGTTCCAGCCAATGAGAACTCCCCAAGCTGTCTCCAACAAAAGGTGCCTGGGGACTCTGGAGCTCAGACTTCCACATGTGTGCCATGCACAACCACACATGCACCTTTACACAGGACACATTACACAGGACATACAGCAGTATTGGATGAAGTGATGTCTTAGATACGTAGAGGTCCTGGGTCCTTTGGTTTGGGTCAGCTTCAGAGTCATTCATGCTGATTCCCTCAAAGCCAGTCCATTCATACCTTTGTGTGAAGAAGAAAAAGGTGCCCCTTCTGGAAAGACAGCTTAGGAACAGGTGCTGCTTAAGGACGGACACAGCCAGATTCCGTGTGACATGGTGCGTAGTTGATGCTTTAGTGTGAACAACATGCTTCCCCTTCTAAGCGCACAGAGCCCTCTGCCTCTACCACACTACACAGTTAGTGAGTTCTGAGCTTTCTGCTTATGCTCACCCCACAGCTAGGCATCTTGCTCGTCCATGAAGTTCACAACTGTATGTGACAGCTCTGTGGAACTCTCTTGGTAGTCAATAGTACTGTGGCGGTGAGGTAGGGACTCTGATTTTAGGTTGCTAGGGTGTGTGTGTGTGTGTGTGTGTGTGTGTGTGTGTGTGTATATATGTGTGTGTGTAATTCAGTTTCAGGGACTGGAACATAAAAGGGCTGTGGAGGACTGATTTCCTGATATCAGGAGGGGAAGCTGGTCAGTGCCCTTCTCTCCACATAATTATTTTCAGGTGGCATTAGCTGTTTTCCTCTTGGCACACTGGCATGTTACAGCTTTCTGCTTGGTTATTACTGAGTGCTCACGGACTTTGTGTGCTGAGCAGTTGGTGACTTTTTACAACTCCCAGCTGATGTGGCCTTAAGCTTTATGTTCAACTCTTGTTTAAACCTCACCGTTAAAGTGCTTTTACATTATTTTAAACACTGATCTTCCAATGTTAGACTGCTTGATCATTTAGGTTCCCCCAAAGGGATTTGACAGCCTTCTGATTCCTTTAGGGAAGAAATGCTTTGATTTGTGTCTTTAAAAATTTTGTTTATTATAGATACTGAATTCCCTAAGCAACAAAGAAAATAAATTAAAGCTCAGCTTTTAAATACATCATGCCCTCATTATCCCGGCTGGCTGGAAGCATGATTGCCATCTCTTAAGTATTTCAAAGATGCAGTCTGGGTGCAATGTGCACAAGAAACTATGAACTCTTGCTGGTCAAGAGTCGAGAAGGACTAGGAAGACGGGAGAGCTGACTTTATAGTTAATTTTCTTGTTACCGTGCAAAAGAGGTTGGGAAAGTGGCTCAGCAGGTAAGACCTGTGTTTGGATTCCTAACACACACACACACACACACACACACACACACACACACACACACACTGTTAGAAACATCTTGAGAGAGGAAGGGATTAGTTTGGATATAGTTTGAGGGTACAGTCCATTATGGTGATGAAGGAGGGTGCAGTGTATCAGTCCCAGGAAAGCATGATGGAGGGGCACGAGGCAGCTGGTCACATTGTGTCCAAAGTCGGGGCAGAAAGCAATGAGAGCTGGTGTTTAGCTCTCTCTCTCTCCTTTTTATTAGTCCAGGTTTCCAACTCAAGGGATGGTGCCACCCACACTCGGGGTGGTTTGCCCTCCCCAGTTAAACACTTCTGGAAACTCTGTCATAGACACGCCCAGATGTGTTCTTTAAGTGACTCCAGATCCTGTCAAACTGATGAAGAAGATTAACCAGCACACAGACGAGACACTGGGAACTTCGAGGCAGAGGCAGATGGTGTCATGTGCTGTCTATGTAACTAAGATCATTCGCCCATTAACTCTAGTGAGCTCACATGAGGGACACTGAGGATGCACATGGGTATCCAAAAAGATGCAAGGAGTGCCCCCGGATTGTGTGTGTGTGTGTGTGTTTATATGCATTGCATGTGGGTGTGTTTATATGCATGTGTGTGTTTATATGCATGTGCATGCATGCGCATGTGTGTATGTGTGTGTTTATATGCATGTGCATGTGTGCATGTGTGTGCATTTATATGCATGCGCATGTGTGTGTTTATATGCATGTGCATGTGTGCATGTGTGTGCATTTATATGCATGTGCATATGTGTATGTGTGTTTATATGCATGTACATGTGTGTATGTGTGCATTTATATGCATGTGCATGTGTGTATGTGTGTGCATTTACATGCATGTGCATGTGTGTATGTGTGTGTTTATATGCATGTGCTTGTGATGTGTATGTGTGTGTTTATATGCATGTGCATGTGTGTATGTGTGTTTGTATGCATTGCATGTGATGTGTATGTGTGTGTTTATATGCATGTGTGTATGTGTGTATATGTGTGTGTAGTTGAGAGATGTGTGAACTCAATCTAATCTCTCATCCTTCTCTCACTTCCCTCAAGCAGAGGCAGTTTTTACAGATTCTGAGTCTTTCTTGCAACAGCCCCACCCAGTCCCAGGTAGAGCATCTGGAGGCTCTCAAGGACTGACACAGAGGCCTGGTAAACGCGATGCGTACAGGGAACACGGCACATGGGCACACTCCATCTATGGCAATCGATCTCCTTGCTTTCTTGTGCCCACTTCTGCAGACCTGTGCTGAGTAGGCTCATTTGAGATGTGTAGGGGATTGTATATTTCTGTTCAGTGTTCTCCTAGTTCCCAGTTCCAGAGTGCGGGTGAAGTATGTTATAGTTGGCGTACTCTCCCTTCATCCCTGGTATAGGGAGGACCTTGAGAATGCAGATATAGCTCCTGCCACCTAAGTCAGTCACCATTGTCCCAGGGAGACTGGAAAGAAACCAGAGGCCATTGAATAGTCTAGGTTTGCTATCTGCCTAGGTTGCTTGCTGTGGCTTCTAGCCAGATTCTCAGGTTGCCAGAACGGCCTCTAAGGTTGCCAATAACTTTCAAGGTCTTCTGGGAAGATTAAGCTTCCCCAACTTCCTCCAAGGACCCTGTTGATTGCTACTTAGTTTCTTTTTCAAGGTTTAACCCTGGCCTTCTCTTATAGATGACACAACTTGTTCTCAGGCACATGGAATCAAGGTAAGGCCTTTCACAGAAGAAGCAGAGAGCAAGGTGGCAGCCGCCTCGCTTGGGGACTTGGTGGTGGTGGAGGGAGCTCATCAAGCTGCTGCTTCAGTTGGTGGCTAAAACCTATGAAAAGAAAACACAGTGATTATGGGGGGAAGGCCAGGCCAGCGTTTCACATACATGTGTATATGTGAAGGTCAAGTGTAACATGTTTTGAAGGAGATTGAGAACAGCTGTTTCAAAACACGTTGGCTTTCAAAGAAAATTAACTCATGTTGAACATAAAAAACGCAAGTTGGCCTCAGATCAAGACCATGTCCTTTTTTTATTGTGAATTCCATCTTCTGTCAGAATGAGTACCCCATTCCCCTGGAAAATGCCCGCCCCCAGTCTCTCTAATAGTTCTTATTTGGGGCACCCTAGTACAACACTCACAAGGGACTGGTTTTCATCACCCATTATTCATTAAGAGCAAATAGTTGATAGTTTATTTTTTCTAGAGTAAGAAGGGAGTAGCTTTGTATTCTGATTTGCAGTTTCTTGCCACCCCACTCCAGGCAACTAGCTGGGAATATTAAAAATAATCAAATTTCTTCCAGCAATAGGGAGACTGAGGTAGGAGGATCACCACAAATTCAAGACCAATCTGGGTTCCATAGTAAGGCTGAGGCTAGCCTGGACGATATAGCAGCATAAATATGTCTCAAAAAACGAAATAAACAAAACCAACTGAATTTCAAAAGGTATAAGCAAGAGCTCTGAAGAGCATAGGGATGTTGGCGTGAGACACAACCCATTTAAGATGGATCCCACCACATGACACCATCCCTTGAGCCCAAAGGGTTCCAGGGCTTGTGGTCCCGTGGAGACTGGAGAGTCCCTTCCTCCTTTCCTGTCTGAGCCAGTTTGGATTTTCGTAGCTTGGCAGGAAATGATTGCCCTAGCAGAGATCCTGTTTGGAGCACCAAGCCCTACATGACTGCAGAGTGTGATGTCACTGTACAGTGTCCTCCTTGAGATCCTAGGGGATGTTTCCTCACGGTTCTTGTAAAACCAGCCCTTGTGAGCCATGGAAGCCTAGAGGGTGGGTTCTGACAGCTCCAGCCCTCAGGTGTGTTTGCTGCAGTGGGATAGAGCAGCCAACACTGCTGCCTTTGCTCCTTTGCCTTTCAGGCAGAAAGGCCTCATCTTGAACATTTCTTCTGGGGTAGCCCTCTGTCCCTGGCCTCTGTATGCCCTGTACTCGGCTTCCAAGGTGAGTGACAAGTCATCCGGGTATCTTCCTCTTCCTCCAAGCAGGAAATGTCTGTGATACTCTTGGGAACCTGAGGCGCCTGTCTATCAGGGCAGGAGGAAGCAAACTCCAGGACCTGAGGTGTTTTCTCTCTTACTGCAGGCTTTTGTGTGTACGTTCTCCAAGGCCCTGCATGTGGAATACAGAGCTAAAGGAATCATCATCCAGGTGAGGTGGACACTTGTGGGAACCTCGGCTGGCTAACTGGTGGTCTGTCATCCCTTGCAGCGCAGGCTGTCCATGTGACGATGGTCTAGTGATCCTACTGGGCTCTCCTGACCAAGACCAGGCCAACTGCTGTCTCTACAACCCCTCCTGCTGCAGGGATTTCTGCTGGCCTCCCTTCATGCTGGGGTTGGTTGAGGAGGGGAATTGTGTATGGATGTGTTTGCTCAAAGATGCTGTGAGGGCTGGGATGTAGTTCAGTTGGTTGAGTGCCTGCCTAGCACACACAGAACCCCGAGTTTTATCTAAGGTGCTGCATAAAAATGGGTATGGAGGTGCATGCCTGTGACCTTAGCATTCAGCAGGTGGTGACAGGAGGATCAGGAGTTCGGCTGATCCTGACTACATGGAAAGTGTAAGGTTTGTCTGAGCTGTCTGGGGAAACGTGCTGTGGACCCTTTGCTAAGTGGTATGTTTGTTGTGTGAGCTGGTATGTATGTGTGTGAGCAGGTATGTATGTATGTGCATGTGTGTGGGGTTCTGAGACAACTTTAGTTGTCTATCATTAGCATATCAAGCACTAATCAAATGAGCCATCTGTTGCTCCCTTGACTCTAAATTTCATTCCAGTTCTGTCACATCACCCAAGCAATACCTGATAGCTTGTTCAATTGTGAGCCTCAGTTTCTCCATCCATGAAATGGACCTTTATATCACTATACTGCTTTGGTTACCATATAGTATTTGTTAATTAAACATTTACTAAGTATTTTGTAACACAAAAGGGTTTTCTCCACCAAAGTTAACTATAAGAACGAAAATATTATTATCTTATCTGAAAACTGGGTTTGGAACTTTTCCCAAAGAGTAATCCTTTGAGATCTTGGGGGCAGAGAACATGTTAATGAATCAAAGCATAATTTACATAAGAACCATCTCAAGTAGGCCAGCTTATTGCACACATTCTAACTGGTCTCGATAAATAAAAACCTGGAGTCAGATGTTAGGGGGTGAAATTACATACCTGCACACACATACATACAAGGATCAGAGAAGCAGAGCGGCCAGCCACTAGAGTGTTCTTACCTCTACCAATGTTCAGCAGAAGAGGCTCAGCCTGAGTCGTCAGCCTGCATTGCTCTCCTGTCTCTTCCCGCCTCACATTCCTCTCCCTGCCCAGCCATATCTCTCCTGTCTCCACCTCCCTAGTGCTGGGATTAAAGGTGTGAGATCCCGAGGCTGGGATGACCTTAGTGTGAACTCTGTTTCTCTTTTAGACAGATTCAATCTTGTGTAGCGTAGGGTGGCCTTGAACTAACAGAGATTCCTCTGCCTGTCTCCTGAGTCCTGGGATTAAAAGTGTGAGCCTCCACTCCCTGGCCTCTAGTGACTTAGCTCTGCACTCTGATCTTCTGGCAAGCTTAGTTTGTTAAAACACAAGCAAAATATCACTACACTAGCTGGTAAGTAGTTGGATTTAGTTATAAACCAACATAATTACAAATGACATATGATGACATTGGGAGAACTAGGCTGGATTGCTTTTCTTCCTTTTTAGGAATTCAGAGAGGGAAGGAGGGAGGGAGTGAGAGAGGGAGGGAGAGAGAGAGAGAGAAAGAGAGAGAGAGAGAGAGAGAGAGAGAGAGAGAGAGGGAGAGAGGAGAGGGAAGGAGGGAGAGAGGAGAGGGAAGGAGGGAGCGAAGGGGAGAGAATAATAGAGAGAGAGAGAAAGAGAGAGAGAATGAGAGAGAGAACGAGAGAGGGAGGGAGGGAGAGAGGGAGAGAGAGAGAGAGACAGACAGAGAATGATAGAGAGAACCAGAGAGGGAAGGAGGGAGGAAGGAGGAGGGAGGGAGAGAGAGAGAGAGAGAGAGAGAGAGAGAGAGAGAGAATAATAGAGCGAGCACATAAGGGTACATATGTGGAGATCAGAGGAGTCAAATTTCTTTTTGTACCATGAGGGTCCCAGGCAAGCACCTGCTGAGCCATCTTGGCAGCCCCAGTTTTTTCTCACTAAAGATCTGAAGGTCTCTGCATCTACAGTAGCATCAGAAGACAGTTTCCAGTCCTTAGTCAAGCCGCAGCACGTTAGACACGGGTGCAAGCACAATACTGGATGCCCAGAGTGCCATCAATGCACTGGTTTATATTTTTCACTACAACAGATAGGATGATGTGACAGGGTGTCCCGAGTGCCCTAGGCGGCTCCAGCTTTGGCTACATGTGTTAGCACTGCCAGACTTGATAAAGGTTTTTCAAAGGAACGTGAATAAATCTGTCTGTCAAGATGGAGTTTTACTAGTAGCCTAGTTGGCCTTGGCCTTCCAATTCCATCCCTCAGTCTTAGGACTAAAGGTCTGTGCCACCACTTCTGATTGATTGACTGTCTACTGTAAGTCCACTCAATGCAATACTTGGGACATAATTATGCTGAGTGATTTATGCTTGTCTGGACTTCAATTTTGAGTTCCTTTTGTTTGTGTGTGCAGTGCTGGGACGCGAACTCTGGGCCTCATGCAGGCACTCTGCTTCCGAGCCTAGTCCCAGTCCTCCTGAACGTCGGCTTTAACTGCTGCCCTGCTTTGTTTGATGAGTCTGTGTTGCCCCATGTGCTCTGAAGGGCAGTTTAGGCCTCATCTTGCGCAATCCAACTTCCTGTTCTCCGGCTTTGTGCCAACTTTGCATCTTTTATCAAGGACCTTAGAGCGTTTCACAGGCAGCAAGGAGCAGGGGATGGATGGTGAAGTGTGTGTTCACACCCCAGTCTCCGTTGGCCTTTACAGTGCTGTGTCCTGCTCTCTATCTTTCTCTGCAGGTGCTGACCCCTTATGCTGTCTCAACCCCAATGACAAAGCATCTGAATACCAACATGGTGACCAAGACCGCGGATGAGTTTGTTAAAGAGTCTTTGAAATACATCACGATTGGGGATGAAACCTGTGGCTGTCTTGCTCATGAAATCTTGGTAATCGATGACTTCTTTTGGAGCCAGGGAGGAAGGGTGTGTGTTTTCTTTCACAGCAAGCTCACAGGGCCCGCCAGCTGCAGTACAGCTGGGGAAAGCAGTAGGGGAAAGTAGTAACAACTGAGGCGGATGCCCTCAGCCTATAAACAACCGTGAGGTTCCTCTTCTCCACTTAGAATGTCCCCACTTAGCGGTTCCTGGGAGTTCTTGGGTAGGAAAAACAGGAACACCTGGCTCTTCCATGTGGCGGCTCCTGCCTCCCTTGGCTCTGTGTTTCAGTAAAGTTGAGCCTCTAAAGGAATGTTTTTCCTTAGCTATGAGTAAACAGGGAAGGAAAGAGTACAAAGCCACCTGGGAGGTGGGGTTTCAGGAAGGAATAGCCAGTGCTCCATAGGGGAACAAAGAGGTGTGGTGGTGTGCTCAGCACAGAGTGAGTTCTCCTGACTTAACATGTCCTTCAGAAGGCGTTCAGAGGGACAGCCTGGGTGTCTAAGAAGCTCTCCATTGCCAAGTGTCGCAAGATCTTCATAGTAGTCAGAAAAAGTCATCCTGCAGTGACTGACTCCAGACTGGCTGAGGTGCAGTTTCTTTGCTTTGCTCAGACACTCCTATTTTTCTGTTCCAGGCAATGTTGCTGAACCTGATCCCTTCCAGAATCTTCTATAGCGACACCTTCCAAAATTTCTTCCTGACAGACTACTCAGATTATCTGAAGCGCAACACCAGCAACAGATAGCGGGATTGGGGGGTGGGAGATGGAGGTTAGGGCTAAGTGGGGGTAGGTGAGGTAGGGCTGGAGCGGATGTTGGTGGTAGTGGCCAGAGGAGCCCATCACCACCCTTCACTTGCTGAGGGGAGTCTGCCATACACAGGGCATGGTAGTTTGAGTCTGGAGCTCTCAAGAAAAGCTAGGGTATAAAAGGGTATATTTTCTATAAAAGGGAGGCTTGACATTAGAGGTAACACCAAAAGAATCCCTGTAAAGGTAATAAATGTGCTGAAAAGAAACTTCCAAGTCTCACTGAGAAGGATCTCACCTAAAGGGTCACTTTATAACCCTGTGTCGAACTCAAAACTCAAATAATACCCGGGGCTGCTAAACTTTGCCAGGACCTCAGTGGGTCCAGAGCATGGTTTTTAAAATGTGGCTTCTTGCAGGTCTACGAGACTGGGTGGGAGAACGTGTTGGGGCAATATTTGGCTCAAGCCAGTGTCTTGTCTTTCCCAACCCGCTTCATTTTACCATGATAACACCAGGTGTTATCTGTTTTATTCATAGTAGGTTCTCTAAGGCTGTGTCGGTAAAGATAAACACACAGAGGAAGTTTTAAAACATCGCTCTGAGGCTAGAGAGTGGGTTTCGAATGCATACAACCCACACTAAAGCCAGAGTGGCTTGGTAGCCTGTCCATATCTCCAACACTCAGGAGGCTGAGACAGAGGATCCCCGGGGAAGCTGTACAGTTATATGAGCCAGAACTGGTGAGGTCTGCATTCAGCAGGAGACCCTACTTCAGTAAATAAAGTGAAGTATTGAGGACGTCGCCCAATGTTAACTATAGGTACTCACATTTATGTCCACAGGATTGTTTGTATACCCACATGTACATGTGGACACTCATGCACATAGGTACACTCACTATACACATACACATGGGAAAATGTCCTAAAATAAACACATGTCTGGGCATAGTGTTTCATACCTGCTGTCCAAGCACTCAGGACACAGGTGGAGGCACCTCCACAAGTCTGAGGTTAGACTGGTCTGTGTGGCTAGTTCCCGGCCAGCCAGAGATACATATTGTTACCTCTCTAGTTGGAGATGCATCTGGGAAAGCAGAACCTAAAAATGAGGCAGACTAAAGTCTCCTGCAATGGTTAACTTCATTCAGAGTTTTGAAAAATTTATACTGTAAGGGTTAAGTGAAACCTTTGCTTTCGTGGGACAGTAGATGCTGGTCAGCCAGAGCTGAAGAGTCAGCTGAGTGTGAGAGACTTCAGCACAACTGAAGAACCTTCTAGAAAATACTCCCTCAGGGCTAGCACACAAACTGTGGTCCAGAGGACCCAAAGCTGCACTCCATGCTGGCAACTGAATTGGGGATGAGAATCTCTCCCCACAGGGCAATGGTTCTGACATGGAAGCTGCAAGCTTGAAGGTGGTCATGAGGACAATTTGAGGGCTGACCATGAGGCAGGGTCAGAGCCCCCGAGGAGGGGAGAGGTGGACACTGCTAGACGTGCAGCCTCAGTTAGTGAAGACCCCAACATATTGGAGATACCGGGACTGTTAGATGACCACCAGGGACAGTGGCCGTTGTGAAACGGATGAGCAGTGTGTGTCCTGGAGCCAGAGTCAGAGCAGGGGATCTGCCCAAGCTCTCTGAAGCCCAGAAGATCGTGTGTGAGTCCCAGACGTAGGACCCTGAGCTTTTTACAGGTTAAATTTTGAGTTTGCTCTGATCTGACTGTAACTGTACCCTTGGTCTCCCCTGTTGATATAAGAAACTATTGGACTTGTTGACTTTTTTTATTTTAAAAGAGTCCACAGTTAAGAAACTTTTGATTTTTAATCAGTTTTTTTTAAAGACTGTGTGACTTTTAAAGTTACCATGCTTTTGTGTTGTGATAGTAACAAGATATCCTGGGATAAACAAGATAAGGTTATGGCTTAATAGTGATGCATCTGTGTGTCAAATTGACAAGGGGTTAATTGTGTTATTTAGTTAGGTTGTTGTTGCTTTTTTTCGACACAAGCTGGAGTCAGCTGAATTGAGGAATTGCCTCCATCATACAGGCTAGTGTGCCTTTCTGTAAAGCATTTTCTTGATTAATTATTGCTGTGGAAGAGACTAGCCTACTGGGGTTGATACCACCACTGGACAGATAGCCCTGTGTTATATAAGAGGACAGGCTGAGAAAGCCATAGAGAACAAGTTAGCAAGCATCCTTCCTCCATAGTCACTGCTTCAGCTCCTGCCTCCAGGTTCCTGCCTCCAGGTCCTGCCTCCAGGTCCTGTCCTGGCTACCTGTAGTGATGGGGTATGGCCTGGAAATTATAAGATGAAACAAATCCCTTCTTCCCCTAAGATTTGGTCAATGCTTTATCACAGCTATAGAAAAGCATACTTAGTATGGTTTAGGTAAGAGTTCCCAAAGACTCATGTGTTAAAATGTTGGTCCCCAGCCTGTGGTGCTGCTATTGGGAAGCCATAGGATCTTTGGAAGGCAGGGCTTTGGTGGAGGAGGTGTGGATTGAAGGGGACTGTGGGACGCTAGTCTCTTCTTACCTTTCCCTTTGCTGTGAAAGTGTGTGGTTCCTTCTCGGGCCTCGCACACCCCATGGTGTTCTGCATGGCCACAGGCCTAAAACAATGGGGTCATTTTATGAAGGAATGGAATGACGAGCCCTTCTTAGTGGGCTATCTCAGGTGTTAAACCTCTTCTTCTTAGTGGGTTATCTCAGGAGTTAAGCCTCTCCTTCTTAGTGGGCTATCTCAGGAGTTACATTATGTCACGTGGATAGAGTTAGCACAGCATGGTGTTGTGGGCTGTAATGTATATTAGGCTATAAACATAAAGATGCTGGAACACATGTTCTCAAGGCTGCAGGTTGGACCTACCTGCTTGGGAAACCGAGAACTTCATTTCAAAGACAATTAGCCAGTGCTAGCCAGAGAAAGCTAACTGATGGTCATCCTGGGGCCAGAAGAACTTAGTCAGGTTGTGCTGCCCCTGAGGCCAAAGGCAGGTCTCCCTGTAGTTCTCCCTGTAGGTCTCCATGTAGTTTTCAGGGCCCTGGCTCCATACTGCCCTCTAATGGTCTTGTGGAGAAACTGGGGTTGCGCCTACCTAGTTTCCTAGAAATTTCACTCTGTGTGTGTGTGTGTGTGTGTGTGTGTGTGTGTGTGTGTGTGTGCTCATTACAAGAAGGAACAGGAAAGGAGAAGAAGGACCTGTTTGTGTGGCATAGATTCTGACGAGAAACCTGACAATGGGTGAGAGTGAAGCCTCTAAGTCTCTCTGGATTGAGCTCTCTCATGGCAAAGGTTGGCTTCATGAGCTTTTTTTTTTTTTTGGTTAGATTTCAAGTAGGTTTAGAAAATAAACAAATTTTAAAACCACGTTTGAAAGATAAAATTCCTAGTTACAAACAAGTAGGTAAGGCAGAAATACAGAAACTATAGAAAAAAGGAGAAAAAGAGGCACCTCTCAGAATAACTATTCTTCACTCATGGCGACTTGCTTTTTCTTATTTTTTTATTGTATTTATTTATTCTCCCTCTCCTCTCCCCCCAACATCCCCACGTGTAGATTAGAAAACATCTTGCAGGATTCAATTCTTTCCTTCTGCCCTGTGGAGCCTGGAGACTGAACTTAGGTGGTCAGACTTAGTGACAGGCATGTGTGCCTGCTAAGCTGTCTCATCAGCTGGCCGATGGCTTTTTCTAATCGCTTCATGTGTCTGCAGTAGATTGAAGCACAGGTTTTTGTACTCTACTGCTGTGGGAGTTCCTTCAGCTCCTTCAGCCAATCGCAGCTGAGTTACCAGCCCATTGGGGCGTGGTCTCTCTCCCTTTAAAAAAAGCAGCGGCTGTCCTCCACTCTGTCTTTGTCTTCCGGCTCCGTTTCCGGCCCCTGGACTCCTTTCCTGTTCGCGTGGAGGGGCTGTTGTCTGGGACGGTAATCTGTAAGTTTTTTCCCCTTTGAATAAATAACCATTCTATTAATCATAATTCCAAACTGGTGTGGGATTGTCTGTGACTTACGCCTTCATCTGGCGCCCCACGTTTGGTTGTAGAACCCCCCCTGCCCTCCCACCTATACTGCCTGCCTGGCCAATCAGCGTTTTATTAAAATACATGATTGACAGAATACAGACAATTTTCCCACACCACTCTACCTTTGCCATTAAGATAATGACATCAGATTATTGATTACAAACAGCTAAGCAAGAAGTGTTTTGCAGTGATCGTAACGCCTGCTCTTATGACTTACCACAATTTATCTTTTTTTGATCTAGATGTCTTTTTAGCTTTAACCTTTCTTCGGATGACACAACATGACCTGTCCTTGTACGCACGCCACTTTGTTGTCATTAATGTTTAAACTCTAACAGCTTGCATGCTACACTTTTCAGATTTAGAATGTGTGATTCAAGGACTGGGAGGTAAAGTGGTAAAGTGGGTAGAGTGCTTGCTTTGCAGACATGTGGTACCGTGCAAAACCCTGGTCATGTGCATCTGTAACCCCAGAAAAGAGGGGCAAAGACAGATGTGTCCTCAGAACTCTTGGAGAGGAATTGAGGACGAGATGGGTATTGACTGCTGTCTTCCCCAGGAACACACCCAGGAGTGCACACACAAACATGCATGCAATCATAAACCACACAGGCACACACAGAGTATACAGTTCAGTGTTCCTAGTGCAGAGTAGTGTAACCATCATCACAACTAGTTCTAGAACATTTTTCATGGCCCACACTGAAACACCACATCCGTTAGCAGTCACCTTTCACTCCACGCCCGTTTGACACACCCTGACCAAGGCAACCACCAATGTGTTTCATTTCTTTATTTGATCACACTATTAAAAAAATACAGGGTCATGATTTATATCCCAGGCTGGCCCCGAACTCTACATCCTCCTGCCTCAGCCTCCTGAGTGCTGTGATTACTGGCATGTTCCACAGCATGGCACTGGCTATTCTGAAAAGTTAATATAACTGGCTTTTGTCATTACATACTTTCACGCAGCATAGTATTTTAAAGGCTTGTCCATGATAAACCATGTACCAGTACCTCTTTCTATTTTCTGTTGCCAAAATGTAGTCTTGTTTACTTCTTAGTTCATGAGTTGATGGACATTCAGCTTGCTCCTGATTTCAGTGCTCTGAAGGAGGTTGCTCAGAACACCTTGCTCACTAATAGACACTGATAGACTAATGTGTTTCGCTTCTGTTGGATATATCCCAGTCAGCAAACTTTAGGGCCATATGGCAGCTCCAC